GTCGCGGCGTGCCTCAACAAGTACTATGACGTGCTAATTAAACATCAATACGCGCCCGGGACAGCCTCGTGACGTCAGCGCGTGACGTCATCGCGACAACACCACATTTTGTACTATTGTGCTTTCACTTCGCACGAAACTTTGTACATAGTATTTGTAAAAACTTATTTAATTCACTTAAATTTATGAAACATACGAGTCTGTACATAGCGTATACATATGGCGATTATAAAATGTGTACTTAAATCATGTACTAAGAATTTGTTACAGTTGATGTTAAATTTCGTTTGATTCTGAATTTTTCGCCATATCTTGAAGGAACGATTGTGGCTTATAAATTATATAATATGAAAACATTTATTTGTCTACGTTTGTTTGCATTACAGTGATTTGTAACTAAGGACTTTGGTAATTCAGTATAAAACTGTGATGTATGCAGACCGGGACGAGCTGAGGATCTGAGAAACCTCTCACTCGTCACCGGTATTATTGAATTTCCAACAAACTTATAATATAATGTCCTGCGGTTACTCTAACTAATCTAACATTTCGGTGCAACAATTCCTTCATAATTATGAATATGTGCGTCGCTACAAATTATATATTTTTTGTACTTGGACCATAAAAGAAAAATTAAAAACTATGACATTTGTAAATGAAACTATTACACATATTTTGCAATAATAACACGTTCTAATTACACACATTCATAGTGATGAAGAAAGGACGACATGATAGCGCGCAACACTTGGAGATTTGTGTGAGTTGGAGCGAGCACAGCGGGCCACTGTGTCAGATCACTACTACTGGTGGTACTTTGTGTGCGAACACAACTGCACACATTGTCAGTCACTGCGCTAATGATGTCAGTGTTGCGGCGCGTGCGCGTGCGCATGTACGTCGCGCGTTCACATCGGCGGGTGTTGGTGCGGCGGCGTGAAGAACTGTCATTGCGGCGTGTCTCGCGCGGCGCTCCAGCGGTCGAACTCGATGCCGGAGTCCGGGGAGATGCCGGCGGGCGGGGCGCAGCCGCACGGCGCCGCCCCCGCCCCGCCCACACC